ATGCTCGAGAGAGTGGGCAAAACGGAATGAGAAAAGGGATGATTGCCATGAAGGACAACGTCCTGAAAGAAACGTATACTGGGCCCTGGAGTTCTCCCGAGATCGCATTCTCATCCACATTAGCTGTTTGAAGGTCCCGGGGACCGCAAAGGGCACGGAGAAGCCGAAAACAACCGAAAATGTCTGCACGCCTTTCCCTTGCCACCGTTCTTTCTTCACGACGATTGTGAAAATGGGTCCACCAACCAAATGGATCAACCAACCTCTTTTAGGGTGCGTTTTTTTGATACATGTGGCGACGAGAAACCTTGGTGACGAGAAACCGTGGCGACGAGAATCGTTCCCGACGTTCGACAACGAAAAACACATGTTCAAAGTCTCGTTCCCCGCACCCCTCCTCATCATCGTCACGTCGCGTGGGGGGAGCCGAACTGCCTTGGAGTCCAGCCTTGCCCAGCCGGAAGCCGTCCGACTTGGAGACTGGCGCCTCCAGCCTTTGCTGGTGTTGACATCATTTTCCCATTCTCCCATCCTCTCGTCTCCTGCTGCGGCTGGCTGGCTCTGTTTCCTCCCGCCCCCCCCTGCCAATACTTCTGGCGGCTCACCATGGACGCGTCGGAGAGGAGCTTCAGCCGGTTCTTCACGCGGTTAAAGCGATCCTGCCGCTGGCGATCCCATTTTCTGGCTTCTAACCTCCTCATCCTCATCTGGCCCCTCCGCCTCCTCCACTTCAGAGAAGAAGGATTCGATTGTTGCTGGTGCTGGTCACCCTTGGAATTGGGAGCCGACGGGCGCCTGAAACAATGTTCTCTGGGGCCCGCCCCCTTTGACCTTCCTGCGAAACCCCGTCGAGGAGGCACGCGACCCGCCTCGAGAAGCGCCGCCGCGAAACGTCGGGCAACACGGGAAAAGAAGAAACGGGGGGGAACCGCGAGCACACCTGCACCCAACCCGCGCGATGCGCCAAACACACGACATCAAACCCACACGACTATCACAGCAACCTGCGTCAAACCACAGTTCCCTCCTCCACCTTCGATTCGCCGCATGCCCGAAGCCCCACTGCGACGAGTGGCGCCCTGGTCCTCCCGGCAACCGCGCGCGGCGAGGTTGCCCGCGGAAGCCCGGGGGGCCGACGCAACGCCTGTGTTCTGCCGAAGGGGGGTTACAGAGATTTCCCCCTGTACGCGTTGTTCGACGCCTTGGCCACTTGCAAGATCTGTGTTTCGAGACAGTCTTTAGAAGAATACGGCATCGTTGGCTTCCGCGTGGCTTTCGCGGGGCCATTGCGGTCCGGTGCGTCCAGGCTATTTCCTCTGTTGTCGCGCGAACTCTCAACGTGCCTCCGCGTCTGTTCGGCCGTTCGGCCCAGGTCAGACCTCTCGCGCAACGGTCTCAGTAAGTACAAGGCACAACCTCTTGCAAATCAGTCCAGCGGAACAATCGAATTCCAGCCAGAGAGGCCGCGGCACTCAGCACAGGGCGCGCGCTCGGGGCAACAGCGCGGTAGAAGCGGCTCCCGCTGCCATGCGAGGTCGGCATCGCAACTTCTTGAAGCGCTGGTCGAACGACGCCTGGACGCTCATCCGGCGCCCAACGCTATGGGGCGCCGCCCGCGCAAAACGTGACGCACATTCCAGTTCTGCGCTGGCGGCGCTGGCACAACGCCCAGGAGACCTCCTATCAAGATCAAGACAGGCCGTGCGGGAGTAGGTGAAAGTTTCATATCAGAACTCTTAACACTCGAAAGGATCCCAGCTCCGAGGCGCGCCCCACCAGTAGCGACGACGGGAGGTCAGCGATATCGGTACCTCTTCCTCCTCGGACGGCCTCCCCCCTCCCTCCCTCTCCCTCCCCTCCATCCCTCTCCCTTCCCTCCCCTCCCTTTCCCTCACCTCCCTCCCTCTCCCTCCCCTATCCTCCCCTCCCTCGCCTAACTCTCTCTCCCTCCTCTCCCTCTCTCCCTCAGCGTTGGAGGAAACGGGTCCTGGGGGACCCGGGTCCTGGAACCCGGGGCCTTCCCCCAAGAAAAGCTTTTCACCCTGAGCCGCCTTCTGACAGTCCCGGGGCCCGTGGAGGGCACCGGAGAAGCCAAACACAAGGGGAGAAGCCTCAGGTCTCGTTTCCTTCGGGACCCGTTTCCTTCATGGCGACTCTCTTCCTCCATCCCTCCCTCCCTCCTCCCTCCCGCCGGCCGAACAGATCCGATTCAAGACCCCCACCCCCGCCGCGGGCAGTCCCTGGACTGCTGGTCGGAGGCGATGCGGACGGTACAGACCCGCCAAGCCCGCCACCGCGGCGGGCGGGGCTGTGGGCGCAGGGAACATCGGGGCCCCGAAGCTGTGTGGTGACGGGCCACGGTCCGTGGGAAAGGGCCAGGACGGGCCGAGAGGCCAGGCGGGCTTCCACCTCGTATTCCTCCTCCTCCCCCTCCTCCTCCTCCTCCACCTCCTCCTCCTCCACCTCCTCATCCTCCCCCTCCTCCTCCTCCTCCTCCTCCTCCTGCTCCTGCTCCTGCTCCTCCTCCTCCTCCTCCTCCTCCGCCTCCTCCTCCTCACCCTTGGACCTTGGATACTGACTCATCCCTATGATGCGCCTAGACTGTATGTTGCATCTTCGGGGAACCTCGTCTGTCCCATCGCGGCAACTACCTGTCTCGAATCCGCGTCGGATCCGTGTCGAAAGCGTCGAGCCCGTGTCGAGTCCGTATCGAGTCCGTGTCGAGTCTGCGTCGAACTCGTGTCGAAACCAAGTCGGAGTAATTATGCAAGAAAAAACTGCCATGTACAGGACGGATCTGTCCCCCGACGATAGTCATAAAACAATGGGAATACACAACAAACATTCCAGGTCAAATTTCCCTCAGGACCCGTATGCTTCATAGCGAATCTGAGGGGCAAGGAAGGGGAACAGCTCGAGGGGGGAAACCTCGATGGCGACAGATCGCCAACCCATCGGCGAAAGGCTCCCGATAGAGAAACTGCACGCTCCCGAGCGGGGCGGGCTATGGGGCCCTTCTTCATGGGTCTGTTTTCCGATACCATCACCATAAGTTGGAGGGGGGAAGGAGGTGGAGGATGAGGAGGACGAAGAAGAGGAGGAGGAGGAGGAGGAGGAGGAGGAGGAGGACCCCCTCCCCCTCCCCCTCCTACTTGCGGTGGAGGAGGTGGAAAACAAGCACACCACTTTATCAGCGATGAATAGGCGACTCAGGGTGGATCCACCCCCCCGTGACCCCAATTGCTCCGTTGCGGCCCATAGGGCCACGGGGCGGGGCGCCGGGCTGCCCGGCGACGGCCCCCTGCGATGGCGCACCCCTCGCCGCCGTCCGCGCGCGGGCAGAAGGCGGCGCCGCCGAGCGGGTCCTCGGCCACCCCAAAAGGCTCCAGAAGTTCCCTTCCGAGGCCTCTCGGCCTCCTCCTCCTCCTCCTTCTCCTCCTCCTCCTCCTCCTCCTCCTCCTCCTCCCCCTCCTTCTCCTCCTCCTCCACCTCCTCCACCTCCTCCTCCCTCCTCCTCCTCCTCCTCCTCCTCCTCCTCCTCCTCATCCCTCTCCTGGTCCTCCCCCTTGATTTGGCACGCTTCAAGATCTTGAAACGGTTGCCTCCCAACGGGGGCACTTTCTTCAGCGGGAATGAACCATTGCAAGGGGCCGCAGAAGAGGAGTTTGGAGGGAGGGTCTACTCCAACATCGTTGATGAGTCTCGGGGTTACACCGGTCCTCTTCATCCTCCCAATCCTCCTTTCTTGATTATTCTCCTTGTTCTTATTATTAGTATTACTATTATAACTAATCGTAGTATTGTTTTTGTCATTCGTATGCTTATTGTTATTTGTTGTACTATTCTTCTTGGTATTATAACTCGTCTTCTCCATCCTATGATTATTAGTATTAGCGTTGCCATGAACAATATTTCGTCTCCTCCTCCTCCTCCTTCGCCTCCTCCTCCTCGGCCCTCGGCATCCAGTAACGGTCGTTACCCAAAGGGGGGGGGGGACTGGGGCCCCGGGTAACGGTAACTCCTTGGCTTGGCGGGGCACGCCGGTGCAGGGGAGCGCTGCGATCGCCACAACATACGCGCGAGCACCAACACGTTGGGGGGGGGGCTCCAAGCGCCAACCCTTGCGGTCGGACCTAGGAAAAAGGAAATCCTTCAAGAACATGGGGCCCGCTGCGGGCCAAGCTGAAGAACGCTCGAAGGTTAGGGTTGCCCTCCCCCTGGATGCACAAGAACATCAAACAAACGCGAAGAACATCAGGGTACCCTCTCCGGACCGACCTCGATCTTACACCTCGGTTCGACCGTACGTAGGATCGTCACCGTTACCCAGGGGGGGCCCGGGTCACGACTGTTATGCGCCAGAGGATACAAAAACAATCTCCGTCCATGGGAAGCATAAAAGCACTGAGGTCGGTATTCCTAATCTTGTCACTGGACGCGTTCTGACCAAGATTTCGAAGCGAATCAAGCCGTGACGATGAGGGAAATTCAGCGGCATGGGCATATGTTCCCCCTCTCTCCCTTCATCCTCCATCCTCCCTCCTTCTCCTCCCTCCTGACTTCCTCCCCCTCTCCGTCCCACCGTTCGGCTGCCCCCTTGGCCGCCGAAAACGGCAGCCGAGCGGGATCGGTGCTGACTTGGGCGGTGGGGCCCGTGTCGCTGGATCCCGCTGCCGAACGGGCTCGATGAACTGGGCGCGCTCGGCGGCCGCACAGGCTGATGAGATAGTATGCCGATGGACAACAATATCTCCTTTTCATCTTGAGCCAAAATGGGCGCACGGAGGAGGGTGTCAGAATCACTCCTCCTCGGGCCTGGCCGCAAACCGGCCAGGCACGACCTAAGTCGTACGCGGGCGCGCCCGAGCCGACGCGCCCAGCTCATCAGCTAGGCTGCGGCCATGCCGCGAGCCCCTCACTCCGCCCGGCGCGATCATACCGCCGCCGGCGGAACCTCATCCAGCCCCACAGGTAGCGGAGCATGGATTCGATCCACTCCATCACTTGAAGTCCTTCTGAGTCGAACTCGGTGCCCGATCCCAGATGTTCAGCGTCGCCATGTGTCTCCTCAAAAGGGATCCACCCACGCTCTTGGTCAGCACGTCCGCGACATTGTTCTTGCCAGGAACCGCAGCGATCGAGATGTCGCCCTTGCCAACACGCTCCTGGATCCACAAGTACCGTGATTGAACATGTCGCATCTTCCCGAGACCTCGCCGTTGGACGTGGCCCCGGGCCGCCGATGAATCCGAGGCGAGCTCCACCTTCAGGTCCAGCCCCCAGTCCGCGAAGAGGCTGTGAAGGCCTAGGCCCACGCTCCCGCCCTTTACCAGGGCGTAGTACTCGCTCTCCCCGCTGCTCAATGAAACCGTCGACTGCAGGTTGCTGCCGTGCTTGACTACATGATGCCCTAGCATCGCCACGAAGCCTCCTGTGCTCTTCCGCGTGACTGCACAGCCTGCATGATCGGAGTCCACGTACACCCGGATCTTGTCGAACGTCTTCTGCTCCGTGAAAACCGTCACCGTGCTAGGATGCCGCTTGAGGTAGCGGCCAACCCTCTTGAGCATGAGCCAGCTCGCCTCCGTTGGCGTCTGCATGGACCTGGCGAGTGTCTTCGATGCCTCGGCCAAGTCCAGCCTGTCCTGAGACAGGTAGGCCACCCTCATGGTGAGGGATCGGAAGCGCGAAGCTTCCGCTGCTCCCAACGCCGCCGACTTCGCATCCATCATCTGCTTGTCGGCGCTGCGCTTCTCCGTCGGCGTGTCCACGCCGTTGGCCTTGCTGAGACCCAACTCGTCGATCACGATCTCCGCGTGCCGCTTGTCCGGCTCGATCATCGCATGCCGGCAGGGCCGGCCACCGCCAGGCGGAACTCCCGAACTGACCTCGATGACCCGATTCAGGAAGACCGCCTGCTTGTCATCGCCCTCGTCGAAGCCCAGGTTCGCAGTCTTCTTGAACTCGTACTTCTTGCCCAGCGTGGCCTCGAAGCTGTCGATGTCCTGCTGCTGAGCTAGCACCGCGAAATCGTCGCCGTGCCCCAGCAGCCTCGTCTCGTCCACCTCCTTGTAGAAGACCGCTGGGCACGACACGCCTGCCTTGTATCCGTTTTCCTCCAGCAGCTCCGTGTAGTCGCCCTGCCAGATCTTGCTGGCGTCCTGCGTGCCGTACCAGGACTTGAGGAGTAGGCCGCACTTGTCCTCGCCGTACTCCTTGCGACTCTCCTCCTCCAGCTCCACGAAGATTCTCCGCTGCGCCTTCCCGTAGAAGTGCGCCCTGCTGATGTCGAAGAAGCCGATCTTGAAGTTGCCCGGCTTCCTGCCCTTCTTGCGAAGCGACTCCTGAATGTGGAGCGGTGCTTCCCGCGTCCACGTGACCATCAGCGAGACCAGCGACCGCATGGCCTCCAGAGGAGGCATGGCCGAGAAGACCTCGGACGCCTCCAGCTGCTCGTCAGGGCGCTTCTTCGCCTTGATCTCCTTCACGACGAGCCTGCTCCTGTAGTTGGGCCTCTCCGCGTCACCCTTGTTCGTGTCGACCCACTTGAGTGGGATGGGCGGACGCCCAGTCTCGGCGAAAGCCTGAGACCTCGGGACGATCTCGATCAGCTCCTGCTTCTTGACCCACTCGCGCTCGACCGCGCGAGCCTGGGCCACAAGGCCCGCCTCCAGGTAGCCGCCATTGACGTCGTCCCAGTAACTCGTCCAGTCCCCGGGCGGCACTGCCGCGTCCACAGGGACTGGGCCCGACTGCTGCACCTGGGCGGTGCTGAGCTCTCCCACGTCATTCAGCGTGTCCTTGAGCTCCTCCAGCACCGCCTCCACCAACTTCGGTGGATAGACCTTCGCGAACCGCGCGATGCCGCCCACGAGCGTGATGTGGCGATGCCATTCCGCGCGGCCGTCCACATTGCTGCAAGTGCCCTGCAGCCTCCGGGCTAAGCCTGGATGGTTGGTGACCCATCCGGTCTCCTTGCGCACGAACTCCTCCTGGCCACTGCGTGGGTTCGTGAGCTTCATGCCCCACCGACACATGGGGCCTTTGACCGTGAAGACTCCTGGATGCGCGACCAGCTCCTTGACGATGTCCTCATTCCACGATCGCGCGCTCCAGGGATGCTCATGCAGGAAGTACCTGCCTGGCTTCCTGAGCTGACGCCAGTAGGCGTCGACTGCCACCTTCAGGTGGTGTCTGGCCTCCTCCATCTCAGCCGCCTCCTGCTCATCGGTCCTGAACTTGGCGCTCAGGCCCCTCAGCAAGCTGAACTTCTCGCATGGAGGGGACCCCGTGAGCAGGATGGGATCCATCCGCTCCTGCTGCCTCTCGAGCTCCTTGACATCCTCGGGGCGCCGCAAGTCCCACGGCGTCCCGTCCTCCTTGAGTTCCTCCAGGTCCGCCGCGAAGCCCGGGCGCAGCTGAAATTCCGCTGCCCGAGCCGAGAACCGATGTGGCGAGTACACCTCGGCCACGTCCACGGCGCCCAGCTGCAACGCCGATAGGGCGATGCTGTCCACCTCTTCGTCGGCGATGTCCACGCCGGCGCTGGCCCAATGGCCACTGACCTGTTCGCGAACGAGCGGGAGCAACTCCGCCTTCGCTCTCGTCAGCACTCCGAGCTCAACCAGCTCGATCGACGCCACATCGAGGGCGAGCACCCGCATGTGCCTCCCCTCACTGGCGTTCCACACGACTGCCACTCCAGCTGGCAGCTGAGGTCCTTCCGCTGGCGCCGGCTGCGCCGCGAGATCCTCCATGTCCACCGGTACCGGCACGTCTGCCGGCTGTGGATCACCGCGCTCGAGGGCCTCCGGCACGTCATCCGGGGCCACCTCTGCCAAGCGCTTCAGCCGCGACCTGGCCGCGGTCATGTCGACATCCGCGGCGGCCTCTGCCGCTCGCGCCGCTCCCGAACTGGAGCTCGCTCCTCCTGAAGGAGCCGCCACGCCGAAGCCCGGTGCTACCGGCTGGCTCTCTCGCATGCGCGCCGCTGTGGCTGCCACGGCTGGCGCTGCTGCCGATCGGGTCGCGGCCGGCGCGGCCGATGCCGCTGCCGCCGCTGCCACCGGCTCGGTGATCCTCCGAGCCGTCTTCGGCGGAGGGGTCCCTGCCGCGGCCGCTGCCGCCGGTCGGACTCTGGCCTCTTGGCCCTGCCTCCGCTCTCGATACTGGCCGGTCCTCTCCCGGCCTGCCTCCTCCGCGTCCAGCGCTTCGAAGATCCTCTTGCTGCACACCGCGTTGTGCGCGTGGCCAGCCAGCACCCGGCCGTGCTTGGCGATCGAGACGCACCCTGGGCATCCCGGCGTTGCGCCCAGCCGCTCGATGTCCGCCTTGAGGACGTACATCCTCCTCGGCGCCTGCGGCTGCGGCGACACCACCACAATTGGTGGCGGACCGACCTCTCCAGGTCCGACGATGGCCCGCGGCGCGCTTGCCGCACGCGGAGCCACGTCCCACGGCAGGCCCTTCAGGCCATCCCAGCCCGCCGTGATCCACTTCTCGCTCTGCGGCAGGCTGCGAAAGCCGACCGCCTTCTTCGCGCCGTCGCTCGTGATGACCATCATCGAGCCGTCGCGCGGGTGGTGGCCGATGTAGCGAGCCTCCACCATCTGCTCCTCCAGCGCGTTCTTCCTCGCGCGCTCCCCGGCGAACCGCGCCATCAAGCGCTCGCCGAAGAGCGGGACCGGCTTCCTCCACTGCCGCCCCGTGAGCCGCTGAAGAGCGGTCTTGCCATCCTGGCCGCGCCGGTATCGGTTGATTACCGATGCGGCGTGCTCCGGCAGGTGCGCTAGCACCGGGTGCTTGTCCTCCACCTTGACGCCCAGCTTGGACTCCAGGTCCATCTTGAGCGCCCGCACCTGCTTCTTGATCTCGCGCACCGTGACCTCGATCTCCCCATTGGCCTGATGATCGGCCGGCGCCGATTCCTGGGGAATGGCCTCGAGGCCAGGAACCTCCTCCACCGCACGCCTCTTGACCAGCAGGATCGCTGGCTCGCCGTCGGACTTGTTGACGATCTTCCTGTAGCCCAGGATCCGCAAGAAGCGTGCGAAGAACTTGATGGCGTAGGCGTCGTCGCCCTTCTTCTCCACGAATGTCGCTGCCATCATCTTCGAGCGCCGATCCCTAAGGACCAGCATCGGCATGGTGTCCGCGTCGTCCTGGCCCATGAAGGCGTAGTCGGACGAGACCACCGGCACCGCTGTCTCGTCGTCCTCCGGTGCGCGGAGATGCGGCTGGCCTTGGCCCTTTGCCGCGATACACACGCGACACCAGCTGCGATAAGTCGCGTGTCCCATCGCCTCGTGTTCAGCGATCTCCCTCTGAGAGGGCTCATGAGGTGCCTTCAGCACTCTCGGGCGAGCCTCCTCCTCGCCCTCGTCGGCCTGCTGTCCATCAGGAGCAGCTGGCAAAGCGTCGGCCGCAGCAGCTGCCGCTGGCTGAAAACCCGGCGGTCTCACGTCGGAAGGCCCCGATCCCGCCGCTGCCGCCCCCGCAGCTGATGCCGCAGGGGGCCGTGGTATTGAGTCTTCCAGTGGACTTACGCCGAGGGCTGCCTCCTGGGGACTGTCTTCTCGAGGATCTCCAGCAGCTCCTCCTTCGACTTGCCGCTGAGGAGCTCCACCAGCTCGGACTTTGACTTTGCCGAAAGTCCCTCCTCGAGAGGAGCAACCGAGCCATGTTGGCCCTTCTTGAGGTAGAAGTTGTAGACACCCTGCTCGCGATAGACCGGCAGCATCTGGTGCTTCGCCGCCTTCGCCTCCTTCTCGAGCATGCCTACCACGCGCTTGCCGATTGGGCTCTTCTCGTGGAATATCCAGCCGCCATTGCGGCCCAGGAATGAACACTGTCCAGCTCCTGCTGCCTGCCCCACCGAGATCAACGGCTTGTGCACGTTCGTCACGCGTCCCTTGAGCGCTCGTAGCACTCCGTACTCGTCCTCCGCCTTGAGCTGCAAGCTGCCCTCGTCCGGGACGAGCTCACCACTGGCCGTGCGATACGTGCTGCCGTTGCCCTTCATTCCCGTCGGCGGCGCGAAGCTCCGAGGGAATGCTGAGATAGCTGCACCGCTGTCCCAGTTGAACTTCATCCAGTCGTCCTGCGCGAAGGGGGAGAGATCGACCGCCGCTACGCCGCGGCCGCTGCCGCTGGCGAGCTCCAGGCAGTCCAGGCTGCCCATGTCCAGAGCGGCGACCTCCGCTTCAGGCTCCTCCTCCAGGCTGCCTGCCGCCTTGCCGCCGGCCTTGCCACCGCGGCTACCGACTTTACCACCAGCGCTTGCCCCCGTTGCGGATCCAGTTCCAGCCCTCGTACTCGATCCCTGCTCTCTCTTCCAGCAGTCGGATGCCTTGTGGCCCCATCTCTCGCAGTTCCGACAGTAGCCGTCGAAGCGCCCGCTGGTGCTTCGAGGTGCCGTGTGCCCTGAACCACGGCCCGAACCCGTCGGGGACGTGCGGGAGCCTGAGTATGATCCGTTCGTCGATTTGCTCTTCCCCTTCGGCTCCTGAGTCTTGCCTTTCCCTTTGCTCTTGCCGTCCTTGCCCTTGCCTTTGCCTTTGCCCTTCGGGGCTCCGAATGACCCGACGTCCATGTCGTCCGGATGATGTGCCCGCGCACGGATCGATGGCTCCTTGATCTTCACGCCGGTCCGAGCCTCCACGATCGTCATCACCTCGTTCAGACTGTCCTGGAACGTGACGAGCCGATGCTTGTTGAGGACGAGGTGGTTCTCGATGTCCTGAGGCACGAGCATCTCGAGGGCCGCCATCTTGATATCCTCCGGCAGCTCGGCTAGACCATCTTCTCCTTGGCGGCGTTCGTACCTGCCTATCTGCTGGATCCACTTCTCTAAGGCTGATCCCAGCTCGTCCGCGCTGCACTTCGGAGGCGAGATGATCGACCTCAGGATCAGCCTCTTCCTCGGACCTGTCGTCGGATCCCACCTGCGGTGGAGCTTCCGCCAGGCTTCGAGACCGTTCCCATCGGGGGCGCCCGTCACGAGGTCGTTGCTCTCGCTGCCGTCCGCCGTCGTGCTGATCAGCGCCGCGTACAGCTGGTTGACCTTGGTCTCCAGCTCTGGTACTCCGTCGTGCGCCGCCTGTGCCCCCTCGATCGTCACGGGGCGTTCGGCTTCTGCAGCCCACCGAAGAACGGGACGGAAGCTCTCTCCGTACACGCCTATCACGTAGTTCTCCATCTTGCGATTCCAAGCCCCGAACTTCTCTTGATCGTCGCCCATCGTCGTGGGCTTGCCAATCCCCTTCGTGTCGACGAGACCTTGAGCGGCTCCTCCCGCGCTCGACGCGCCTCTGATCTGCTCGCCCATACGTTCTATCGCCTGCGGAATTGCCGCGAGGCCTCCTGCTACTTGTTGCTGAAGCCGCTGATTCTCGTTCTCCAGCCTCCTCATCTCGTCGGCGGTCTGACTCATTCGAGCCGCGAACTCCTGCCTCAGCAGTTCGAACTGCTGCCGAACCTGCTCGTCCATGCTTGACAGCGTGTCTCTCGGCGAGCTCCTCCCTGCTCTCAGCTATCTCCTGCCTCGTACGCTCGAGGTCCGTGATCCGGCCTAGGACTTCCTTCTGCGTTCTCTCGACAACGTCTGAGGAGTTCTCCGAAGGATGGTCCTCGATGTGCGCGAGGTCGCGAAGCCTGTTGCCTGCCTCCCTCAAGTCGTGCTTGAACTGGAGGGCCTTGCGCCTGGTCTCAATCGCTGCGTCGCTCCTCTTGCCGCGCCTGCGGCCACTCTTCCCGGCCCCTGCCGGTTGCTCGGTCGCTGCCGAGCTCGCTGCGGTCGATGCCGCCCTCTTCCAGCCTCGAGCCTCCTGCCAGCTCGCCGTGGCGCCCGCGGCCGCGGCGCGCCGAGGCCTTGGTGGGGTCGGCAGCAGTGAGTGGCCAGCTCACGCTACCATGATGAGATAGTATGCCGATGGACAACAATATCTCCTTTTCATCTTGAGCCAAAATGGGCGCACGGAGGAGGGTGTCAGAATCACAGGCTCGGATGCCAAATGGTCCCGTGACGGTCCAAACTGAAAAAGACCCCCAAGACGGCTTACAGGCTTACAGGGACCCAGCACATGGCTAGAAAAGGCCCCCATGAGGCGTCCTCCTCGTCCTCCTCCTCAACCTCCTCCTCCTCCTCCTCCTTACCCCGCATCCTCTTCATTCCACAGGGCACTCAATGCATATCATCTCCAGTAGAAACAACAGGCCCAACAGTCAGGACCCACACGCCCCATAATTTCACAGTCCCCACAGGCCCCACGCCCCCCTTTGGGGGTATATCTTCCTTACCTGCAACGTGTATTTCGTGCAGCCCCTGAGGCAGGGGAAGAAAGGCCGGATGGAAGGTAGGGACAGGGGGGAAGGAGGAGGATGGAGCACGAGGGGGATAGTAGCCGAAGAGGGGCTAGGAGGAGCAAACATGTGGCATAACCAGACGGGAAGATCAGGGGGATAGGCCCTGACGGGCGGGTCGGGAAGGCGGGCCCAACAAGCCAGGTCGACCAAGCGGGTTGCTGAGGCGTACGTCCTGCATGAATCGCGGGGAAGTCTCGAGCAACAGCGCGATCTGCAACTGGGCCACGAAGGGCATCGATGGGACCACGAAGGAACAGGGCCACGAAGGGCAGCGATGGGGGCCACACGAAGGGCTGCAACGGGGCCACGAAGGGCAGCGAGTGGGCCACGAAGGGCTGCAACGGAGCCACAGAGGGCAGCGAGGGCGCCACGAAACGCTGCAACGGGGCCACGAAGGGCAGCGAGGGGGCCACGAAGGGCTGCAACGGGGCCACAATGGGCAGCGAGATCCCGATTCCTAAATAAGCTGTGAGGGAGTCCGAGGCGTGAGCGCGATTCCTCGGTGCCTTAGTGTCGGAAGCGCGGCGCTTAAGTAAATTACGGGGAAGTCCTACGCAAGAGCGCGATTCTCACATACATTGCAAGTCAGTCTCCAGCGAAAACGCGACTCCAAAACGCCGAAAAAAAACGACCCCTGTATGAATTGTAGGGAAGTCCCAAGCGAGAGCGCGACTCCTGAGTAACATTCGCGAAAGTCTCAGGCAGGAGCGGGGCCCCGGCTAATAAATTATGAAGAGGTGTAATGCGGGAGCCGCTGTTGCTGTAACCTGGGGGGCAGGGGCGCAGTCGGACCCTTGTGACTGTCCCTGGTCTTCATGAAGAAGACAAGTGGCAAGCCCCGTGGGAAGCACTTCGATTGGAAAAACACAATGGTCACAGGAGGAAGGGCCAACAATAATCATTCTCCAATCGTGAGAACTCGACAATAAAGACGGCGACTACATCAACGACAACAACAAAAGCAATCAGTTTAAAACTGTTCGCTCTTATCTGCTCGCGCGTCATTCAATATGCATATCCCAAAGCCTGGATACCCGCCTTCTTCGTTTTCGATCGTGCCCCTTTTTGGGGGATATATCCATTCCCTGCCACGCGCGGTTCGTGAAACCCTCGAAAACGAAGGGTAACATATAACGGGGGAGAATAAGGGCGAAGGGATCGGAGGAAGGGAGGGGAGGGGCAAGATGGAGGGAGGGCGATGATTTGCGCCGCGAGTGGCGATTCAGCTTGCGCCATGGCTTGCGCCAGCCACTCCAACACAGGTAAACAATATGTTTCGCCATGGGTCGCGCCATAAACAGCGCCACGTAACACCCCCTTGAATGAACATATAATGGATACCCCCAGAGGGGGGCTTACAGCTGCGAGCTGGTGTCAGAAACAAATTTCGTGAACCCTGAAAAGAAGCGGGATGTTGGGAGAGTGGGGCGGAAAGATCGTGAGAACTGCAACCGTGTCGAGAGGAGCGCGGGGACGTGAAGTGGATTGGGATGGGGTGGGCAAGAGTAGGATCTCAGGAGAAGCAGGATCGGCAAGGAGTGGAGAAGAGGAACCGGGAGGACTGCGAAGGAGCGGGGGGCGCACGGAGGAATCTGGAGGAGGGACTGGGAATAATTTTGAAGAAATGCGGAATGCGAGCGGGAAGGGGTGGAGATTGTTGGGGTGGGATGGGGTGGCCTGGGGAGGATTGGGCGGAATGCGAAGAACTGAGGAATGCGAAGAACTGAGGAACCGCTGAAGGCAGAAACGGGGCCACGAAGGGCAGACAGGGGGCCACGAAGAGCGACAGCAGGGCCACGAAGAGCATGCATATGGGGCGACGACGGGCGCGAACGAGCGGGGGCCACGAAGGGCATACATATATGGGGCCAGAAAGGGCGACAGCGGGGCCACTAAACGCAGAAAGTGGGCCACGAAGGGCACCGAGGGGGCCACGAATGGCGACAGCGGGGCGACGAAACGCATGCGCATGGGACCACGAAGGGCGCGAGCGAGCGGGGGCAACGACGGGCAATAAATAATCCGGGGCAACACAGGGCAGCGACGGGGCCGCTGAGGGCAGAAACGGGGCCACGAAGGTCAGAGAGGGGGCCACGAAGGGCGACAGCGGGGCCACGAAGGGCATGCATATGGGGCCACGACGGGCGCGAACGAGCGGGGGCCACGAAGGGCATTCGTATATTGGGCCACAAAGGGCGACACCGGGGCCACTGAGGGTAGCAACTGGGCCACGATGGGCAGCGAAAGGGCCACGAATGGCGACAGCGGGGCATCGAAGGGCATGCGCATGGGGCCACGAGGGGCGACTGCGAGCGGGGGCCACGAAGGGCACATAATGCGGGGCCACAATGGGCAGCGACGGGGCCACTGAGGGCAGCAACGGGGCCACGAGGGGCAGCGAGCGAAGGCGACCGCGGAACCACTACGGGCAGCGAGGGGCATCGAAGGCGGGCGAAGGGCAGCGAGCGGCAACTGCAGTCTCTAACGGGCTTGTCGGGCGGGCAGGCTGGGCCGGGCGGGACGAGCGGGCGGGTCGTTGAAGCGTAAATTCTGCTTGAACCGCCAGGCAAAATGTAGCGGGAACGCGATTCCTGAGTGTCGAGGAGCGGCATCTGAATAAATTCTTAGGAAATATCAGGCGGGAGCCGCGAACCGGTGGTAAGTTGCGAAGAAGTGCCAGGCGAGAGCGCGACTCTTCAGTGAATTATGAGAAATATCAAGCGGGAGCCGCGATCCGGTGGTAACTTGCAAGGAACTCCCAAGCGAGAGACCGATTCTTCAATACACTGTGAGGAAATATCCGGCGGGAGCCGTTGTTGCTGTAAACCGAGAGCCAACAACACAGTTTGACCCTCAAGACTTCCCTTGATAATAAAAAAGGGTGCGGGCCCCGGGAGGGGCACTTCAATCGAAGAAACAATGTGCACCGGACGGGGGGTCAACAATAGTACTTATTCAGAAATGAGACTTCAACAACAACAACAACAACAACAGCATCACCAACAACAGCAATAACGAAAACCATATCGAAAACCATACCGAACTCAACAACAACAGCAACAACAACAACAACAACAGTAACAGCAACGACAACGACAGCGCCATTAACAACAATCAATTTAAGACTGCTCGTTCTTATCTGCTCGAATGTCGGTTAACGCGTATTTCCCAAACCTTCAATACCCGCCCGCTTCGTCTTCGATCGTACCCCTTTTGGGGGGTATACATTTCTTCTCTGCAGGCCAGGCCCTGGTAAACGGCGGGGCGGCCGCGGACCGTCGGCCTGGCCAGCGGCAGCGCTGATCGGCGGCAACCCGACCCCAAAAGGGACGGGGAGGGGACCAACCACGACGACGACGACGACGACGACGAGCGAAAGCGAGAGCGAGAGAGAGAGAGAGAGAGCGAGAGAGAGAGAGAGAGAGAGAAAAGGCGAGAGAGAGAGAGAGAGAGAGAGAGCGAACGACAGCAGGGCCACGAAGGGCACGAAGCAGGCCACGAAGGGCGACAGCGGGAACACGAAGGGAATATTTATGGGGCCACGCAGAGCGCGAACGAGAGGGGGCCACGAAGGGCAGATAATGCGCGCGCGGCCACAGAAGGCAACGACGGGGCCACTGAGGGTAGCAACTGGGCCACGTAGGAAAGCAAGTGGGCCACGAAGGGCATGCGCGGGGCCGCGAAAGGCGCGCGCATTGGGCCACGACGGGCGCGAACGAGCGTGGGCCATGAAAGGCGCGTGTGCGTATATTGGGCCGCGGAGGGCAAAGACGGGGCCGCTGAGGGCAGAAACGGCAGAGAGGGGGCCACAAATGGCGACAGCGGGGCCACGAAGGGCACGCCACGAAGGGCAGCGAGGGGGGCGCGAAGGGTTGCAACGGAACCGCGGAGGGCAGCGAGGGGGCCCGAAGGGCTGCAACGGGGCCACGAAGGACAGCGAGGGGGCCACGAAGGGATGCAGCGGCGCGCGAAGGGCAGCGAGGGGGCCGCGAAACGCTGCAACGGGGCCACGAAGGGCAGCGAGGGGGCCACGAAGGGCTGCAACGGGGCCACGAAGGGCAGCGAGATCGCGACTCCTGGGCGCCTAAATGTCGGGGGCGCGGCGCTTGAGCAAATTGCGGGAGTTGCCAACGCAAGGGCGTCAGTCTTGAGTGAATTGCAAGCAAGGTATCCAGCGAGAGCGCGACTCCAGAGCGCCGAGAGAACGATTCCTGAATCTGTTTGTTTATTCATTCATTCATTCATACTGCATTAGCACCGATTTGTCAACAACAAAATCTTGCTGGTACCGCAGAGCCTGGTGAGAGCAAACAACGAAACGCTCACCTGGATTTCTTCTCCTTCAGGGAGCACGAGGCCTGGCAACCTCCGTGCCTTGCCCGACTGTGGGCGGTCGGAGGTCGCCTGGCGCGGGGGCGCCGAGCCTCTTGAAGGCTCGCCTCCCCCCAACACATCAGTGCTCACTGACCTCGAGCTCAGTGGCGATTCAAACCAAGTCTGCGAAGCAACGTTCTGAAACTGTCGGCTGAATTCTGGGAGTTTGACTCCCCCGCGACATGCTACCCGTCGCGTCTTCGGACGCTCTGTTCTGTTGAGCTGCTTCCAGCAGTGGCTGTTCAGACGAGGGATCCCCAGACGGACCAGCTCCCCAAGACGCCCCTCTCAAATCATTCTGCCTTGGAGCGCGCAGCGAAGCTGGCTGGCCCGCCAGCAAATTGCATGAACTGGGCGCGAGAGATCTCTCCACCCAAGCATCTTCTGTGGGCTCAGGATGTGAAATTGCTGCTGAAGGGACTCCGTCCAAACAACGTCTGTCTCTAGCAGGCTCGTGAACTGAAAGGGCTGCCTGAGAAATTTCATGCATAGTATTTCCATCAGCAGCAGGCTCAGACACTACAATAGCTGCTTGAGAAAATCAATCCTCCAAGTTGCTTCCCAAAGCAATCTCAGAAGTGGCTGCAGTTATCAAGATTCTCCTCATCATTGCCTGCACATCCGATCGCCCAGCCCTCCCACCGGTGCTGTCCCTGCCGGCCGCGTGCCCCCCACTTGACTGAGCTCCTGCGCCTGCAGCTTTTCGACCTGCAGCCGCGCGTTGTTTGCGTCCGCGTCGAGCTTCAATGGATGGCACCCTACGCTTTGGTCTAGGTCGTCCTCCTCTGGCGTCTTTGCGCCCCTGCAGCTGTGCGCCCACTCCTGTATTTCGTCGGGCTTGCCTCCTTCCACGAACTCTCTGAGCTTGGCCTCGACCGTGAAAACCATCTGCACCTATTTGTCTTTTCTGCCATGTCCGTCTTGTTGAAGGCGAGTAAGTGCGGCGATCCGAATGTGCGCTGCGCTTCCTTCGCTTCGACCGAGTAGTCGTACCTCTGTCCCGCAGCGCTCATCTCTATGATGACAGGGTGGCCCGATTGGCACTTGCAGCGCGAGTCCCCTGCCTCCATCTTCCGCATTCGCGCCTCCAGCTGCACGTTGAGCTTGTGAACTTCGCGTCTCTGCTGCGGCGGTGGCTGTTGCTGCTCTGATGCCGCCGCCGTCCCTGAGCCATTGCGTTGCCCAGGGGTCGCTGTTGACAACCATTGAGACATCTAAAGAGAATAAATGTTCGTCACTAAGGATAGGTCGCACCTGTTCAGCAAGTATGTGTGGATCAAGGTAATCAGGGCTGTCAGCTATATGGCTGCATAACGGGCATGAGACTTGTTTGCGTGCAGCACGCGCGTGAGACCTGAGGCTGCCGTCTACGTAACACCTGTTCTTGGTGAGAGCATTGAGCGCGCGGTGCTGGGCTGCCTCGCGATCGGCCAGCGTGCTGTTGCAAATTAAACAATAGCTAGATAAGGCAACCGCGCACGGAACACTACGAGCCCCATGATCTTCGGCCTGGGACCTGACATGGTGCATAACCATGGCCTGACGCGTCTTAAAACATCAGATCACAGGCAACGCACTTGAAGAGTCTCTCCCCCTCCTCAGGGTTCTCCAAACTCTCCCCATTCCTAGGCGGTTCACCACCGAGACCAGGCGGATGGGGGGGGCCGCAATAGTTATCCCTCGCGCCCTTAACGCGCGGGGGTCGAGCGCCAGGAAATCTTCGCGCCAAGGTTCCTCAAATATTCTACAAAAAGACCCCTTCAAAGATGCGGCAAAACCAGCTCCCTCATCGCAAAACTCAAGAGCATTCACGTCGTCCCACAATTGCTTCAACCACGGATTCGTCTTCGCCGTCACTTGACCTCCATGGACGTCAACATTTTCCCTCTCGCACTGCACCCGTCCAATCAGCGCTGCAATCACCTGTGCGTGCTCATTCGGTCTCTTGGCCAACGGTTGTAGCCACTTCAATCTCCTCATGCGCAGTTCGCAGAAACGCGCGCCGATGCCTAGCTTTTCGAAGAACCTCAAGGTTGCTGGTGCTTCTGTACTTGCCCTCTGTCTTACTCGTGAACTTGCCTTTTAGGAGTCCACGTGCATAGCGAATGATCTTGCTTTGCAGTGGGTTGAGACATTTGATGGCGAGCGGGGTCCCCATGCTCAGAGCGCATGCTTCTACTTGCCGCATTTACCACCTGTCCATTAAAAAAACGACAGCCCTGGATCTAAACGTTGTCCTCGAAGTCCAGAAACTCCCGATTTGTCCCAGGCTTCCGTTATAGCTTGTAGTCTAGCTACCTTTTCTTGGTGAAACCAATTTTCATAGCGATGCATTCCTCCTAAGTATGTGGCTGCAGTCTCCGCCGCTCCTTCTAGTAAATGAGGCGGCCCATGAAAGGCTCGGTTGCTTATGTTTGCATTGTGCTTTGCCCCCTGTACTCGATTAACTTGCTTGTCTCTGTTCTGGGCCCCTCCTATCTACTCCAAACCCGCATATATGTGTATATATCCCCTATCTGCCCAAGCTCGATAAATGCGAGACCGTTGCTCCAACTATTCTTCTGCCAACATCGCCCGCAAAGCCAGTGGTGGCCAAATCTACGCTGTTGTCCTGCTCCAGCCCAATCGGCATTGAAGCAACCTTCATCATGTGCTGCCGCTTGTCCCTCTCCTTACTGTTGATAGCCAACTGAACTCCATGCGAGTAAGCCTGCGCGCAAATTTTTGTCGATGCATGATCTCCCGGTAACGCTGCTTCATGATGTTGCATCTGCGCTCCCAGCGCATCATCTTGCACCGAGAAAGTGATGTTCATAATTGTCTGCTCTAAGAAATGTGTCTTGCCCTCCTTGGCTAACTCCATAGCAGCTGCCACCAAGTGATGCTTCTTGACACTGTAATAAAAGCGTTCGTCGCGTCGTGATATCTCGTTATGTGCGGTATACCTGCTCGTCTTAATCTGCGCGAGCCACAGAACTGAATGATCATCGCATCCCCCCTCCTTCGATGTGCAATGCCTCCACGCATCTAATACCTGAACGCCTGGCGCTTCTTCAGACAAGACTTGAAGTAAGATCTTCCCAATCTACATAGCAGCATAACCGGTATCTCACAATTCGCTCCCTTTTTTCCATATATTCTTGGGCAGACGAAACACATTCGCTTGATGCCATGCAACCGGCGCGCGCTCTTCTCGTCGGATCGAGCGCATCAGCAGGCACACCACTTTCTCGAAGTTAGGGGCCACCCACTCTTCTTCATCATGTGCCCCGACCCCCCATGTCTATCTTGCTTGTGAACCCACTCGGGATCAAAAAGAACCCTGAGAATGTCCCCTGGCACACTCCAACTCGGCCACGTTCTCCAGGATGGTAAAGCTTTTATCGCATACCGGAGCTGCTTGGGGTCACACGGCGCGTTCTCGTGCAACTCCTGCTGATCCCCCCATGCAGCTGGATCTGTCTCTGGATACTCCACTCAGGTGTGCCTGAAGGTCGCCTCGACACGTTGATGCTCGCTGTCAAAAGGCCTCCTCCAGAAACCAACCACTTGCGTGGGATTCTTCGCAAACTTCTGTATGGTGGCAGCCGTTCCTCCCTTCGTTCCACTAACATGCACCCTCTCTATCCACTCTGCTGCCGTTGCTCTCGTGGTCGCCACTTGGTTATATACTCTGCCCCATTGGCCCTCTGCACGCGCCTGCAATGAGACGCGACAATTTGCGTGCTTCATGAAATTCTCGCTGTCTCCAGGCCTCCGCCAAAGCTTCTATCCTTAACTCATTGCGCTCACATATCATCTGCCTCTTCATTGTTTTTAGGCTGCGACTCAAACGACAAACCTCCAGATTGATATCCTCTGGCACCTCGAACTCTTCCTACTTTGCCTCTCTGCGTAGAAAAAAAGTGCGATAGCTTCTTGCTCTTGGTGATCCTCAGCTCGTTGTTCTCCTCATATCCAGGCGTCGAGCTTAATGCCATCGCCGTGCAATCTCCCACTATCTGCATCATACATGCGTCGATTGCGTCCACATCCCCTTCATATCCCCAGCTCCGGAACTCCATCATGTGTTATTGGAGGCCCTTCTCGATGTTCTGCAGCAGCTGCGTTCTCTTGTGACCATGCAACAGCGCCGCGTTGCACGCCCCCACGTTGGCTCGCGGGAGATGAAACGGTCTGGTCCATTGAAAGGCGCGGCAGAGTGAGACACAGAATCGAAGGTGGTCCTTGATCTTCTGTGATCGTATGTGCTGCATGGCAATCTGCAACGTTGCCCAAAGCACTGCGTGGTAGTGCCACGTAGCCCAGTCTTTTCCTGACTCCATCTTTGATGCCAAAGTACGTCGGTCCTGCTCGACTGAAAGTGTTGACTAAGATCAAATCATGAACTCTAAGCACTGGTCTAAAACACACAGAATTCGGGCCGTCCACCTCTGGGTCTTCCTCGCCACAAACAGGTCGTAGCCCTTGCTGCTCGCCACATGCACTGTTGAGGTCCATGCCCAACACTGGAATGCACCTCGCTGGTAATGCATCCATCTGTTGCTGAACCCACTCACCAACTGCTTGACAGATTTCTCTCCGGCGCCGAACCGCTCCCTCCCCTGTGCCACGTGGAGGGAAGTACAGGCTGAAAATCGCCATGTCTTGCCGTCCTCTGCGAAATCTAAGCATCAATGTTCTTCCCTGCAGCACCCCTTGTCCTGCGTTGACTTGTACCACATATTCTGGGGGAAGCCTTCTTCTGTGAAGTCCTATAGCGACCCCGCGCGCTCGATTTGATCCTTCTCCATGTCCTGCACGCCAAAATACATGTTGCTGTGTGTGAAGTAACTGAACTGGGTTCTAAGTGTGAATGAGTCTGCGCGCGAGCGAATATATTTGCACGAATGCGATCATGGCTACGCCTCGTGTAAATGCATATGAAAGTGACTGGTTCGGGTATGCCTGTTTGTGCACTCGTGACACTGAGCGTGGCCGCCGCAGAAAGCTTCCGCGGGAACCCCGGAAGCAGCGCCCGCACGCCGCGACGCCCATGTCGGCACGCCCCTCACGAAGATCGCGCCCGCTTCCTTCCCTTCTTTTCCTCCCTCTTCGCCCGCGCACTCCGAAGTCCAAAGCTGCGGGCGCAGCGCGGCGCGGAGTCCCCGCGACGCGCGCCGGTCGCCCAGGAAGGGTCCCAGCGACGCGCGCGGGCGGTCCGCTGCGCGGAGCAGAGAGAGCTAGCTAGCTAGCTGGCTGGCTGGTGAGCTAGCCCGCACGCCGCGGGGCGATCCGGGCCGCCGCCGGACGAAGACGACGACGGCGACGACGACATCCACCAGGCCACTCCTCCACCGCTCGTTTACAGCGACCACAGCGAGAACACCGGAATAACCTCGCTGGTGGAATGGCATCTCCCGCGATTGCAAAGCAACATACATACGGGGGGGAGCGGGCCTCCGCCGAGTTCGCTCTGGCTGCAGGTCCTACCGCCCGCATGCTCTGGGTACACGTGGCGCCGGATGGCACGCGCGCCCTGGCGAGGCGCGTGGCCAGGCCCCCTGTCGAGGACACGCAGGTGCTCGACAACGACGAGCGCGTGGAGACGTTCGAGGAGACCTGGGCGGCGGTCGTCAAGGCTTGCGCCGACTTCGGCGCGTGAGGGGAGGCGGTCTACCTGATGCCGTCCATGGTGACTCCCGGCGCGCAGTCTGGCAGGACGACGGACCCGAATGCCGTGGCGGAGCACGCCGTCGGCGCGCTGAAGCGAGTGGCGCCGCCGGCTGTGCCGGGCATCTTCTTCCTCCCGGGCGGCCAGTCCGGGGCGACGAAGACGCCACCGCTGAGGGCATGTACGTCGAGGGGTACCGACAGCCGCGCTTGCAGCGCCGCCGACAGCAGCGCCG